GAGAGAGAGTGGAATGATCTGGATTCAAACACGGGCTGTCCGCTTGGAGGCCTCCGTACATGGCTGTACACTAACCACTAGGCCAGGGTTTTTCAAATTGGGGGGCCGCCATTGGGTGCTTGGTTGGTTGGGCAGAGGCGCTGCTTGTCAACAGGCAAATGCTTAGGGGCCCCCAGATCAAGTAGGCGGCCCCAGATCAGTGGCCGAAAATGTGCAAATTTTGCAATGACAGTAGGAAACCTCCCTAAGGGGTTCCCATCAGACAGAACTCACTCTCGTTGCCCTGCTGAACGCTGGTTGGGGGGCCCCCTCAATTGATTTTTGCCTTAAAGGACAAACACAAAACGCGCCATGTTTGATTATCGTGCAGATTTAAAGAAGAAAGTAAAATGCTGGACATCCTCCATTGTTGCCCTTTGTTAACTGTGTCATGTTCTTCTTCTTGGATTTATTGGCAGGCTGAACTGTGTCTGGCTATTACGTAGCTAACGCAGCTAACGCCATCTGACTTTACACTCCCCCTACCAAACAAGGGTACGGCTGGCTGTGGTAGTGCTAACAGGATCAGGGTTTTTACCGTACCAAATCGTACTGAACCAAACCGGACCGCTTGGTGGAAACATTGGCTTTGTTTTCTGAGCAAAAATCTCTCCTCCTGCTTTCTTTGAATGGTCAAACTCAGTGTGAAACTTGTTGTTGTGGAAGATGTAAAAAGAAAAGCTGCCAATCTCTTTGCAGGTTTAAAAAATGACCCCGTCGAAATGTTAGCTTTAGCTTTTAGCTAATTGGTCTAGTTTACCTTTTTTAAGTTGTAAAGAGGAATTACTAAACTCTTCACATCAGCTTCAAACATTAAAAGTCTGGCTCGGCTGAGGGGTTGAGCGATGCATTCCTTTGGGGTTAAAACAGTCGAAACCCAACCAGGGTGTCGAATCCAAAAAGGCAGACAGATTGCGAGACGGGCTCTTTACAAAAATCGACGCCCACTTCCGCAGCCCTCTCTCGCCTGAACTCTGGCCGCTGAGGTCAGCCCGCCTCCCCCTCAGCGTGACTGATGTGTGAATGACGAATCACCAGAAGCTGCTTCCACAGGAGTGACGGGGGCTAAAGCCAAGGCCAAAACGTGCCGTCTAATTACGGGGATCCGCCCCTGCAGGAAGGGAAATGCCCTGAGAACACACCGCCCGCTCTGGCTTTTTAATCTGTTTAATTACACTCATATTGAAAACACATGTAGAGACAGAAGACAGAATAAACACCAAAGTATGGCAATGATATATTTATTTTAATGCTGATAAAAGCTCATACACATGCCATCACATCAACAGTGTAGTAACATTAATTACAAAATGTATATTTGCTGAATATGTTATTTGATCGGGTGTTTTTTTTAAAGTAGACATTTACACAGGGAAACATTCACTTATATACAAACCCTTTAATCTGAATGTTTTTTCTCTTTATAGAACTACAACACGAGTTTTCAGAGGGGACCAGGAGCGCTGGATCCAGATCCCCCCCTGGTGGCTAACTCCCTGCTATATCAGGAGTGTTATATTGATATGTAAATATAAACATGAAGAAGTCAATCGTTTGACGGACATTTCCAAAAAAAATACAAAAACAGGAAATTAGTTTAATGGACAGAAAATGGGATTCAATTTAAACTATTGTTACTTTTTATAAATCCTCTCTGAAACACAACGAGCAGAAATACAAATCAAACTGTACGCTAGTGTTGGAGTCAAGACCACACCAACCGAGACCAATACATACCCGAGACCAGAGTGCTCCGAGACCGAGACAAGGTGGAGACCTTTAGGGATCGAGGCCGAGTCAAGACCAAGGAATCGAGACCAAGACCATTAAGGATCGAGGTTGAATCAAGACCAACACCTTTAGGGATCGAGGCTGAGTCAAGACCAAGACCTTTAGGGATCGAGGTTGAATCAAGACCAAGACCATTAAGGATCGAGGCTGAGTCAAGACCAAGACCTTTAGGGATCGAGGCTGAGTCAAGACCAAGGAATCGAGACCAAGACCATTAAGGATCAAAGTTGAATCAAGACCAAGCTCTTTAGGGATCGAGGGCCTAATCAAGACTAAGAATTTTAGGGATCCAGGCCTAATCAAGACCAAGACCTTTAGGGAACGAGGCTGAGTCAAGACCAAGACCCTTAGGGATCCAGGCCGAATCAAGACCAAGACTTTTAGCAATCGAGGCCGAGTCAAGACCAACGAATCAAGACCAAGACCATTAGGGATCGAGGCAGAGTCAAGACCAAGACCTTTAGGGAACGAGGCTGAGTCAAGACCAAGACCTTTAGGGATTGAGGCCGAATCAAGACCAAGACCTTCAGGGATCGAGGCCGAGTCAAGACCAAGACCCTTAGGGATCCAGGCCGAATCAAGACCAAGACTTTTAGCGATCGAGGCTGAGTCAATACCAACGAATCAAGACCAAGACTTTTAGGGATCGAGGCCGAATCAAGACCAAGACCTTTAGGGATCGAGGCCGAGTCAAGACCAAGACCTTTAGGGAACGAGGCTGAGTCAAGACCAAGACCCTTAGGGATCCAGGCCGAATCAAGACCGAGACCCTTAGGGATTGAGGCCGAGTCAAGACCGAGACCCTTAGGGATCGAGGCCGAATCAAGACCGAGACCCTTAGGGATCGAGGCCGAATCAAGACTAAGACTTTTAGGGATCGAGGCCGAATCAAGACCAAGACCTTTAGGGATCGAGGCCGAATCAAGACCAAGACTTTTAGGGATCGAGGCCGAATCAAGACCAAGACCTTTAGGGATCGAGGCCGAGTCAAGACCAAGACCTTTAGGGAACGAGGCTGAGTCAAGACTAAGACTTTTAGGGATCGAGGCCGAATCAAGACCAAGACTTTTAGGGATCGAGGCCGAATCAAGACCAAGACCTTTAGGGAACGAGGCTGAGTCAAGACTAAGACTTTTAGGGATCGAGGCCGAATCAAGACCAAGACTTTTAGGGATCGAGGCCGAATCAAGACCAAGACCTTTAGGGATCGAGGCCGAATCAAGACCAAGGGGGATAAAAATCGAATTCTGAATAAATTGAAGTTATGTGTTGTTTAAGAAAGGGGCGTGTTCTTTCAAATCAGAGTGACTTGGAAAAATAGCCAATCAGTGGTGGTCTTGTCCGGTCTGGATTTAAAATCCGGAGTCCACCCAGTCTGAGGCCGAGTCCTTCAAAAAGTGGTCTCGAGACCGAGCTCGATTTGCGGTACTACAACACTACTGTACACTAACTTCATTCAAAACTAAAAACGTCTTTTCAGTGGTTACAGATGGCAGGAATAATCCTCAACTAAAGTTACCCGATGGCACAAAACTCGACATGTGGACCGTCAAAGTCCTGCTATCATGTCGCCAAAAAACAAGGACGTGATGGTGGGAGGTGGCTCAGGATTGTCTCCACATTCGAGCAGCTGACTGAAATACCTTGTTAGAAGAAGAGTGAGGAGGGCGGAGATGTGCAACAGCAACACGGTTCAAAAAAGATGGCATGTGCACATCGGCCCCTCGATCGCAGGGTCGTTATATACAGGAAGAGACGAAGCCATGGGTAACACACACACACACACACACACACACACACACACACACACACACACACACACACACACACACACACACACACACACACACACACACACACACACACACACACACACACACACACACACACACAAACGCACTTCTTCCCCTGAGACTGCTGTTGTGCTCGACTATCAGAAATTAAGGCTGATCACAGAAACGGAAAGGACAACAAAAAACAAACAAAGTGCCAGTCATGCAAAAACAAGAACAAAAAGAAACATGAACACAGTATAAGGGCCTTGTTGTCAGTGCATAATAATAATCACAATGTCAATAAACAGTCATTGTTCTAATCAATAAATTAAACATGGATACAAAAGATTACAAATTGTAGTTTTTTTTGTGTTAAATAACCTTCAGATTGCTTCATCGGAGGCAGAGATAGTGCACACACACACAGTGAGGAGAAAAAGAGTCCTTCAGTCTCAACGCTGTCGCTTCACCTCCTGTCCCAAACAAAAACGACATCATAAAATATAGTACAACGACCAGGATTGTACAAAAAGATCAGTGTTTTAGCGTCTCCAACGCCGGAGACACGTTGAACGCAGCCCGTTTAGAAAAGACAAAAAAAAGAAAGAAAGGATCAGTTACCTTTGTGTCAGACTCGGCATGCACGTCACGTCGTTGTTTATACAAACACGTGTTGCTCAGTTTGAAACGAGACAGTGGCGCTTTACAGTTTGTAGGATAATGCTACCTCGATGTTCAATGAAAACTAGGAAGCACTTTTAAAGATGAACGACTGAATCATAAAACACTCTCTCTCTCTCTCTCTCTCTCACTCACACACAGAGCAGATTTGTGGCATTGCAGAACGGATTTCCTTCAGTACATTTCACTCTTTGCAGAACTCTGAGATCTGCTCCCGCCTCACCTGGAGGAGCAAAATCTGACCTTTTGAATCTTCCTGCTGCTGAAAAAAGACCCTATGAGGTCAGGTCACAGTTTAAAGACAGAGTCAGCAGCTTTCTCCTTCAAAATAAAATACAGACTAAAGTGAAGCTGCTCTGTCGTCCCTTCTGGGCCTCCGTACATGTGTGGTGGTGACTGTGTCTGCAGAGACTCTGTCCTCTGACTGGATTTTACTGTTCTGATTTGTTCTGGTTGACTGGTGTGTTTCCTCCAGCCAATGAGAGAGCAGCAGGTGAGTTTAGGAGTGGATACAATTCAGTGATTGGACGAGATTCAAACTGGAGAATATGACGGACGAGGACGTAGCAGCAAAGAAGAGAAAATATAATCACCAAGTGGATAAAGCTCGTTCTAAAACGAGGGTGAACCTTGTGTTGTCTTTTACCCGTGGACGTGGAGTTGATCTACTTCCTGTTGGACAGGAAGGTGACAAACACCTGCGGTTAGCTTGTGCTAGCGTGCGTTAGCTTGCAGTGTAGCTACAAGCAGTAAACGTACACACTGCATCCTGCAGGACAAACTGCAATAAAAAAAGCTACTGACTCTACCTTTAAGGTGTTTTGGAATCAGATCAGATCCTGGAATTTAACAGAAATAAAATACACACACACACACACACACACTCTCTCTCTCTCTCAAACACACAAACGTGAAGCATCACTGCTGTGCTACAGCTGGCTTTTTTTTGTAAATATCAGGTCACTTAAAAAAGGGACTCATATAATACATCTTTGTGAGTTTGGGGGCAGGTGGAGGCGGAGTTACAGGAAGAGGAGGGGCTGCTACATCGAAGCTGGGACAACGGAAAAAAAAGAGAGAAAGGGAAGGGCTGGAAAATAAATAAATAAATACTTTAAATGTACACGTCTTCTCGTTCGGACATTTTATAATCGACTCCACAGTGATCATTAGAGTCTGAAAAAAAATAATTATGTCACGTTAGCACCCTAGCCTTACCGTTCAGTGATATTGCCTGGATGGGACAGTGTTTTGGGCGTGTGTGTATGTGTGTGTGTGTGTTTCATAGTCTGGTCTGAGCCTCGGGGATATAGATCTCGATACTGTCTGCGCTCTCGGTGGCCGAGCTCTGCCGAACCGAAGCGGCACGTTTGGCAGCTAGCAGGCGTTTGCGAGCCTCCAGGCGCTGGCGCTCAGAGCTCTCCAGCGAGCGGTCCCTAGCCAGGTGAGGGTGGCCCTTCAGGGGCTTCTTTGGCACAGGAGGGGGCATCCTTCTCTCCTGGACGGGGAATAATAATAAACAAGTCTTTAATGACCTCTCGTGGTGAGGCTGCAGAAAACAAAATTATCGCAAATTAGGAGCAAAAAAAAAAAGAAGTGCAGCCGGCTCGGGTGAGGGTTAGCGAGAGCGATGTAGAGTCTGAGAGCATGCAGTTCTGAATGAGGTTATGGGTTCACAGTGGGCAGCCATTTGTGTGAGGGAGGCCATTGCGTGAGGTAAAAAGTGACCATTGGAGGTGGACAGGCCCCAACGGTGCATGGCAGGTAGAGAAGCAGCTCACTGTCGACAACAAGACAAAACACACCAGTGCTGACGTCAGGCAGGCGACATGACAGTAACAACACACATGTGCATGCTAACACCACTGTGCGTTATCAGAATTCATGCTGGTTAGCTAAGCATTCAAAAAAAAACCTGTTAAGATGTATCTGAGCGCTTTGAAGATGAATTTGAAATCTGAACCTGAATTTCTGGCGGGGTCAGAGGTTTCCAGTTGTTGGCTTTGAGTTGGTGCAGTTCATCAAACTTCAGGCTGATGTTTTCGATGGACAGCTGGAGCATGTCCCAGAAACCAGCCAGGTCCTGGGAGATCGGCCGTGGGTGTGCGTTGGGGTTCTGAAACACACACAAACACACAGCACAGTTATATGCTAATCACATATTTTCATAATGATTGCTGCAGCTATCCGATTGTTAATTTGTACGGATGCAGAACCAGAAATAGTTTTGAAGCGAGTCAGATGCAATTAGCAGTAAATTTATATGAGAGGTTTGAATCCAAACCCGGTGTGAGTCACTGAATACCCTTTGTTTTAAACCATACGTCATCGTAACAGTTGCCTCAGAAACATCTTTTATCCAACAAAAGGTGATCCACTGAAATAAATATTTTACTAATTCAAATGTGAGAGAACAGCAGCATGGCGGATTTTGTTGTTATAAATTATTAATCACAGGTTCATTTTAGATTTGAAAATAAAGTGGAAACATAAAAGGAATAAATGTTTGTGCAAAAAAAAAAAGCGTTTGGCTCGGCATCGGATTGCAGCAGCCGAGGGTTCAAATCCGACCTTGGGCCTTTGCTGCATGTCATCCCTCCCTCTCTGCTCCCAACATTTCCTGCTTCCTCCTCTTCAGCTGTCCTCTCCATTTAAGGAAAAGATTGGCCCAAAATAATACTTAAATAAAAAGCTTTTGGCTGCTTCAGGAGAGAAATGTTCATACCTGTGTTGTAGAATATCTCTTTATCAGGCAGGCAGTATCTTCTGTTTATTGTGAAAGACAGTAAGGGCGTGCAGATGCACACTCTACACTAGATGCATAGTAAATGAGCGCTGGCCTGTCAGGATGATTTGTGCAGGATGATGTCAGTGTTGGGTGTGGGGGAGAGAGGGAGGGGGGGAGGAAGGGAGGGAGGGAGCATGCAGAGGATGAAGTGACACATACCAGATTCTCCTCACACAGCTCCCGGAACTGCTGGAACTTCTGGGACATCAGCAGCTGGGCACTCCCCACTGCACTGCGGATCTTCCCCAGGACTGCAGAAAGACACAGGCGCACATGCATGCAACACACACACACACACAGACACGCGCAGAAGCACAATGCAATTACCCACAGAGCCGCAGACTGCAGGCATGTTGCAGCAATAACAGAGAGGCTGCATTTGTAATGCAGCAGAGACGATATGCTTTAAATCCTGTTTTATCTGAACCTCATTCAGTCAGCCAGGGGCGAATAATCACTGAAATGTGCTGAAATTGTAGATAATATAGTCTTTAAAAAAATTATAAACCCAACAACAATGTACAATTCTAAACACATTATGTGCTGCATTTTCTGTTGCTGTATTGCATCCAAGAGAAACTAAAAAAAATCAGCAACATGGTTTAAAAAAGAATGAAGGAAACATGAGGTAAACGAGGTTTGTACTGCATAAAGGAAAACAAATGGTCATCCCTGTTGAATCACACATCCTGGTGGAGAGAGGCTGCCGGTGCATACATTAGTCTACATGAAGACAGCAGGATCAGACACTCAGGAGGCGGAGTAATGAATCTGCACTACAGACACATATCTTCAAGCGGTGTGTGTGCATGTGTGTGCATGCGTGTGTGTGTGTGTGTGTGTGTGTGTGTTCTGGGAAAACATAACCTTGAGACAGGCTGCCTGTTTCTGCAACATTTCTGCGAGAGGCTCTCTACCCTGGAACCAAAAATAGCACGCTGGCTGCATAAGCAATGACACTTTTGGTGGAGATGAGGAAGTCCAGGACAGGTAGAAATACAGCGCCTGATGCCCCGAGGCTCATTTGCACAGTGTGGTGTGTGCATGTAAGGAAGTGTGTGTGCATGTAACACATTTAGACATGTGTTTACAGACATGCTCTGCAGCGTGAGTGTGTGTGTAACTTCATGATCAAACTCCTTCACCGCGGCCGTGTGAGGGATCATTATACAGTGTGTCTTAAGGACAGAAGTCTGGCCGGGCCCAGCAGCCCTCTATTGATAAATATGCACGGTATGTCTGTGGAGGCCAGAGGGCCTGAGACAGGAACAAGCAGCTATTGTGGGCCAATACCAGGAATACCAGCACCGTCCAAATCAGAGGAGAGGAGGTGAAACAGATCTAATATCAGTGTGCAACAGATTTTTTTCTTCACTTTTTGACGTTAAGGCACCTAGAGAGCGTTTATCTGATTTGAACATGACCTGATCACTGGTGGGAGTATAGCCCTAAGTTTGAAGGTGTATAATCCCCCCTTGGGACGTCTCGCCTTCACAATGACTGTCACTGAGTTGTAACGGGGGGGAGACAGTGGTCCCACCTCTGTACTGAAATCGGAGGTAGTAACAGAGGAGTCACAGACCAGCGCTGTGTCTATGTGCATGTCTCTGAGTGTTTGTGTATGTGGAGCTTGCAATGTTCCTTTACTCGACGTGCTACGGGGGCAATGACACCCGTAGTGATTGCACCTTACTTCCCCCCGCCGCCCCCCCACCTTTTTATCTGCAAGTCAGCATGAAGCCGATAATAAAAGGAGGTGATTAAAAAAATAAGATGTGGTCTTGCAGCACTGAGAGAAAAATAAAATCCTGTGTGGATCACGTAGACTGCTTGTGGGTCAAACATCTGAAGCGTGTCCTGGCACTGTCTTATGCACTTCCTCCATCTGTACAGAGTAGCTCCTGTATCAAAAAATAAACAGCACTGACCCTCATTTAATCAATAAATTGGGGAAAATTGTCCCCGGTTTTATGCAAATCCTGCTCTCCTGTATGCACAACGTTTGCACAAAAGCCCCAAAGCCGCAGCAATAGAAGTTTAAAAATCAGACATAATTTCACATTCATTGAGGTTTTATTTTGGTGGGAATATTGAGGATGTTGCCCAGAACACATTTGAGGAGACAACACCAAAACAAGGCTGTGGCCTCTGTGATGAGATCTAAATGCATCTGAGTGTTTAAATCTTTCCTCTTGTGATCCAAACATTAAAGATGCACAGCAGCTGTACTCACTCTCATCCGGCAGCTCGACCTCCATCTCGTCGCGCTCCATTTGTCTGCACCAGCCCTCCATGCGCTCCGTCTCCGCCTGCAGCAGCTTGAGGAACCAGCGGCCGTCGGGGGCACACCGACCTCGCCACGGCCTCCAGACGACCGTCCGCATCGGGCTCAGCCACACTGTCCATCCACGGGTCCGGAGGGGGCAGGATGGACGGGTCGAAGCCCGCGTCCCCGTAGTCGTCGGCGGCGCAGGCGTGGTAGTGGTTCCCCGAGCCCTGGATGCTGACGGTGGAGGTGGCGGCGTCGCGGGAGTGCTGGCGCGGCATGGTGGCGAAGTAGCGGGGCGGAGGAGCCGGAGGGGCTTCCGAGGGGTCGTCGAGGTCGGCCTGCACGGCCGTGGTGACACTGTTGGAGCGGGTCATCCTGCGGTAACTAGAACAGAAGAATCAAAACTGTGTCAGACATTGAAAAATCACTTCTTCTTTTTTAAGATTTTATTTTTTAAGATTTATTTTTGGGCTTCTTGTGCCTTTAATTGAGAGATATGACTCTATGATAGAGTCAGAAATCAGGGAGAGAGAGAGAGGGGAATGAGCCACAGGCCAGATTCGAACCCGGGGCCGCCCGCTTGGAAGACTATAGCCTCCATACATGGGGCGCGCGCACAAATCCCTGCATCACCAGCGCCCCTCAACAATCTCATCACTGATAACGATGAATAGCTTTTGAAGTGTTCTGTGTGTGTGTGTGTGTGTGTGTGTGTGTGTGTGTGTGTGTGTGTGTGTGTTGTGTGTGTGTGTGTGTGTGTGTGTGTGTGTGTGTGTGTGTGTGTGTGTGTGTGTGTGTGTGTGTGGTGTGTGTGTGTGTGTGTCTGCGTGTGTTGTGTGTGTGTGTGTGTGTGTGTGTGTTTGTCACCTGGCTCATTCAGGAGCAACAGAGTGTGCAATTATCTGTCCCACCACAAACCCTGCTGAGGAGCTGAAGCACACACACACACACACACACACACACACACACACACCACACACACCTGGGACCCTTCTCTACAGCTGGGTGTGCCATGTCGTATTTGGCTCAGAGGTTTTTTGTGTGCTGCTGCTGTCGGGGCGGCCTGTGCCAAGTGTCCCTCCACACTGTGTCCAACAGCAGTCACTCACTCACTCACTCACACACACACACACACACACACACACACACAAACACACAAACACACACACTCATGTGCGCAGATTAAATCAACACACTCACATTTGGCTGCGTTCTATAGAGCAGCTCGCCATTCCAGTGATGAATGGGACGCCAGAGAGAGGCGTGGGGTGTTTGTTAGGGG